CCATCTTAATTTAAGCTGTCAAGGCTCCTGAAAGCAGAATGCTGTTGGTGGGTATGCAAGGCCAGGCTGCTCAGCCTCAAGTATTCATCCTTTTTACATAAGGATTTTTACAGTCCCACCTGTATTGGAACAGAGTTCAAAGCTCTTACTGCAAACTTACAGCTAAATTCCAATATGGGACATGAGCAGTACTGCACAGCATCCAGGCACTTCCACAAAGCCAGGGTACCACAGCCTTAATGTCATGTCTGCATCCCAGAAGAGGACATTCAGACCTTTCAATTGCATGGACATGATTCCTGCTGGCATCAACAGGAGCAGTGTGTATGCAGAAGTGATTTGCTCTGTAGCACACAGGAAACCACATTTTTGCCACCATGTACAATCAAGGTTGTGCAAACGTGCTATTCTCTGTTCATCAATATGTAAATGAGCTCCAGGTAACTTCAAGTTTAACTCCTTAATGCAGAGAAGTGAGGGAGTCAGCCCTACAGTCAATCCCCAGTAATGCCTGAAATCAGAACTCATAATTATGGGCTTTAAACACGATTATGCAAATGCATTAAGGCAGGTTACATAACTGCCCTTTTCCTTTAGGATTAATTATTATTTCCTCATACACTGTAGACAATCCATACTTCCATACACACACATATCTAGAAAACAGCAGCACAGTTAAAACTAAATACATCACCGAACTCCAACATACCTATAATCAATACATTGCACATACTATAGAGCATATTTTAACCTCATCATTGGTAAACATACACGATTCAGAAAAACATTGACTGTATGTAACACAGAAGCTACCACTGAGATATGGCAAATACATCATATACGCTATTAGCTTTTACTTCACTGAAAGAGTTTAGAAGTTTAAAATGATGTTAACTGAACTCTTGAAGTCACCAAATAGTCTGCTCAGTTGCTAACACCTAATGCTCCAAATACTATAGTCAGCATAAACAGCACTAGAGCTATATTTTCAGGGCACTCCTTCAATCTAGCGAAGTTAACTGCTTTTTTATGTCCTTTGCAACACAGCATATACTTATTAGTCAATGACTATCTGCTCCCTCTCATCCCAGGGTAAAACATTAGTAAATGCTTTGAAGTTACTAGAAATGGCCTGGATTTCTATCAGTTTGACAGAAGGACTTAGCCCAGCATACAGAATCGCACATTCCCTCACGCACGTGCAAATATATACACACACATATGTACGTTTAAAAGAATGGCTTGCAATGGCAGAACCTATACAACTAGTAAAATAACCAACAGCAAATGAATAGCCCCCTGACTTTAAAACTAGGCTCCTTTGGTCTGGTTCTGAGTCTTTGCCCAAGGCTGGACTCATACTCCTGGAACCAGCTGCTGTACTGTTTACCATCAATTCAGGTTGTGTTAACATCAAACGAAGAGACCCTCAGCTAGCATGAACTGAAAGATGGAGCCACTTAGCTTTACACTAGCTAAGAAACTGCTCCACTGCCTTTCATCTTGAGTTGTATGAGGCAGCTGTAACTTTTCATGACTGAAAGAAAATGTAAGTAATCACACAAAAAGGTCAGAAAGCAATGCTGCTTCATATGCACCCAGTGAACATAGCAAGGGGGAAAATGAACACAGGAGGAGAAAATGTCTTGACAGCAAGTGACATCACATTTTAAATAAAAGGATGCTCATGGAGATCAACAGTGTAGACAGGTATTTTTTCCTCTGATAGTCTGATTACAGTCATCTAACTTTCCACGCAGGATCCCTCATAACACATGGGTACGAACTTCTCAAATAAATGAGGTCAGACAACTAGTCCGACCCAGTACTGCAGTTCTTTTGCAAGAACATTTCTGGATGAAATCAAAAAGTTTTAGCTGCATATGGATGGCAACACGGGCCTCTAGAGTGGTCCAGTTGTGTTGCATAGTCTTTTCTGGCTTGTTCTTTTCTGGCGAGATCTCCCAGATGATATCCAGCTGGGAGTGTATCCCCATCAAGACAGTTTGATTACAGTTTTGGTGCCTTACAGATGAAATCGCCAGGAAAGAGTGGATAGCATGCTTCCCCCCATCTCCATTTTTTTTATTTTAGTAATTAAGGCAAGTTTGTTTACCTGTCCCCATCATAAGGTACTGTGCTTCTCCAACAGAAAGGAGATCGACAGCAAAATGAAAACAAATTTTCTGACCAAAATTTAACATTTTCCCCAATTAATGGAGAAACTATGTGATTTGTCTACTATCCTTCTTGTCAGAGGATTGTTGGTTTTTTGTTTGTTTTTGCTTTTGCTTTTATTTTCCAGCACCCAAATGACAATTAGAATACAACAATGCTAAGCAAACATTTCATAACAACGTCAATAAGCTGAAGATATGATATAGCTTTATATTTATTCATATACAAAGGCACACACACACACACAAACACGTTTTCTTCAACAAGCAGAACATTTGCTTTGAGTACACCCTTGTGTAAGCGAGAGACCTGGTGTGTATGGTGTGTATTTGAGCCAGGGGTCCCAGGAGGAACTCATTGTTGGTGCTCTTAGATCCAACAGAAAATCAGACAGAATCCAAAAGAACAAACCCAATTTTTTGCTGCATCCAAAGATCCTCACTGTTTTACAGTATTAGAAGGATAGCCTAGGATGTACTAAGTAGCTAAAGAATGACAGGAAGAATCTGGAAGCAAGTAAATCCAGCTACACAGAAGGATAAAAGGAGCACTTCACACCACATGTCAAATAAATAAGCAAACATTTTCATGTTTCTCTATGACACACTCCACATGGAAAACGCTTTACAAACTAAGTAAAACAAGTTTTCAGTTTGCACAGGCTTCCTGAACACACATGCTCTGGTTGTACTGTATGTGTCCATTACATTAATTTTGCTTGACAAAGCTGTGGAGACTGACAACAATGCGCACCAACCCTCCTGACATCTTGTGTAGTCCTGGATGAAAGCACCAAGGTCTACCCCTTGTTTAATGCAAAGATGGGCTGTGGCTCTTGGTAAATATTTTAGATCAACTTGAGTCAAATGTTAATGCTGTACAAAACCTAACTGGCTTAGATCACAGATTTCATTAAGGATGATTTTTACACTCTTAAACACAAAACTGCTAATCCAGGAAGCATCATAACTTCCTAACATTTGCAGTTTTCTTTTCCAGAATAGCATTATGGAAGTGTGCATGGATGTCCTTGTATTGTATACATACATTTAAAATGTGTCTTCATTGTATAGGTACACTTAAATGTTTCTCTGCTGTACACACGCGTGCACACACACACAAACACACACACACACATTTTCCAAGGCACCCTCTCTCAATACAAAATAGCAGCAAGTGTTCATTTTAACCCACTTCTTCATAAAACAATTAAAAAAACCCTACAACAACAACAACAAAACACAACAAAACCAACCAACAAATCCCCCATAACTCACCTATTTCAGTGAGACCATTTTTGTTTTGATAGATCTGATGATAGATGGTAGTCATTACCATCTGACAGAAAATAGCAAAGTAACATATAACGCTTTTCTCCCTTCTCACTGAGTGGAAAGTTCCAGCAATATCAATGAAACTTGACCCTAGTCTTATCCTATAAAGCACTGTAACATTTCAAAGAGCATTTTCCTTGTATGACAATATAGCATCTATTGGTTTGTACAAATGAAACATTTTGCTTTCCAAAGCTGAGTGTATACGCATTGATGTAATAAGGACATCTGACTGATGGCACTATATCCAGTTAGGTGTTATACAGTGGCAATGCTCTTATTTTATAACTCACTAACTTTTCCACATATTTATATTTTATATGCTTTGTTAAAAGCGCAGTGATCAGAGATTCCACTGCTAGAACAGTGCCATTCAACAGACTTCTAAGCTTGTGTTATGCTGCATTATTTTCCACATACAATGGAAGGACTATAGCATATTGTTTTTAGCTAGATACTGAACTACTACACTCTTTAGTACAGCAGTTCTTCACTGTGAAACTGGCACTGAATTTTTTTTTAATCAGTAGAGAAGTGTTGTATTTACAGGTACTCCAAAAAGAAGCTCACACAGCATCTATTTTTTCTAAACTATATTTTTAATCCTGCAGAAAGCATATTTCTACTATAGGACAAAATCCTGCTCATTGATTCCATACACAGTCCATGCTAAACACAGTAAATTTCTCTATTAAATTCAATGGATGTTGGATCAGACTTTTACGTGAGGTTGGTCCTGGAAAGGAGCAGTGCTCTAAGCAGGCCTAACTAAAGCCAAGGAAAATGGCTATACCTGCTAAAGCCATGGAAAATGTACATTGGCAGCACCTAGTACAAACTTAGCTCATCAATACGTAACTGCTGACTTACTTAACCTGGGGCAGAGACACTGAAAAAACTCCATTTTGAGAAATAAAAACAAGCAGGATTTAGTCAATGCTCTGAGCAAGCTGAGTAATGCATCGTGTTTACTGTCCAGTGATTATACATGAGTTGGAGCCATGACTTTGTATTTACTTCACAAAGGCATTTAAACCTGTAGCTATCAATAAATACAATGCATTAAATCACCTAACAGATGAAGTGTAGCGGCTTAAAATTTTACGGCCATATAGACTGTCCTCAGACGCCTGGTGTAACGTTCACACCAGGGAATCCTGCTATGGGCAGTCAGAGAACAAAACACATCCCACTATGCTGAAAGCAGCAAATTTCTTGGCACTGCTCATAACCACAGAACACAAGAATTGCATTTGGTATCTTATGGAAAACATGTAAATGGTCTTATATCAAACACTGTAAACATGGTTAGTTTTGCTCTTCACATGAAACACAAATGTAAAAAATGATCATAACTGATTAAAATATTTTCCCTAAGCTGAGACACTGAAGCCCTAAACACTTCAATGTGTTTTAGGAAGATCAGTGTTTTACACAATATTTCTTTTAAAATGCAATCTTTTCTCTCTCTCTCTCTTTTTTTTTTTTTTTTTTTTTTTTTTTTTTTTTTTTTTTTTTTTTTTTTTTTTTTCCAATTCCAAATAGCGCAACAACAAACATATTGCAGTAGTATCAAGTAGTGTCATCTTCACCTTCATCCAGGGTATAGTTGAGCTTTATAACAGTGCTGATAAAGTCACCGAGTTCTACAAAATCTGCAGTGATAATATTCACACCGCTCTCTCCCGGTTTCTGAGTTCGGACCCACTGCATCATTGCAGGAAGAGCCCTAAGGAGAAAACAGGAACAATAATTACTTATTAAGCAGCGAGACAAATGCACTGAGGCAGAATTTTCCAATATCAACTCCCATTGATCTCACTTGGTTTCTGAGGGATACATGTGGGTTACTGCTCAGGCTTTTGGAAAATTCTACTCTTTATAATTCTCATCCTCTGGATATAGCATGTTTGATTGTATTCAGCTTCTCAGAAGAAAAGAATAAAAGGAGGGTCATACAGGCTTATACTAATTACTTACCTTGCATAGGATCATGAGAATCAACCAGACACCTATTGGTATCATCTGGACCTATGATACCATGAGAATTGCTTATGAAAACAAAATAAGAGAGAACTCAATGCCATCTACAAAGCATGTTTGATGTGTTCAAGGGAATACCAAAAATAGTATTTTCGGAGACCACCATCATTTCTATACTACAGATACACTATAAATACAAACTATACTCAATACCCTTTCTTTCCTAGTACTAATATCCCTGCCATGAACTGTATTTCATCATAAACAAATGATTAGTAACTGAACTAAAAAGCACCACAGTCCCTTTTCTAAAACAGCATATTTTTATTATGTCAGACCCCCAGTGCTGAGATATGTGCAAAAGGTATCTATCTAACTGAAGTATAATTCTTCTGATTCCACAAAAATATAAACCACTGATCATTGGAAATACTATGGGAAATGAAAGGGCTCCACAGTTCTGCAGCAGTAGTCAAGAAAAAATATCCAGTGTTCAGAAGTTAATAAGGTCAAACAAAGTAAAGTACAGATTTTTGAAAGGAAAGGAAATTGACAATTGGAAGTAATTCCCAAAGATTGTGGTAAGTTCTGCAGCACTTGGAGTCTTCAGACCAAGCCTGGATACTATCCTAAAAATACACTCTCTGTCAAGCTCCAACTATGGAGTTAAACATCAGAATCTATGGACTGGATAAACATGCAGCCAGCTGAGATGATCATTTTCTCCCTTTGCTTCAAAATCTAGAGATCAATACTTTTCCCTCAGCCAACATGCTGTACAGATCTTTTCACTGAGGGAAGGTCCATATAAAATGCTGGTCTGGCAGCAGTTTAAATCTCAAAAGCTTTAGGAAAACAGATCTGCAGAAAATAGAACTATTAGAACTATTAGTAGGCACAGAATGTAGTATTAGGGGCCAGAATCAGTCTTTAAAACAAAACAAAACAAAAAAATAATTAAAAAAAAAAATACATACTCATACCCAACGTTAAAGTTAGAACCCTCTATGATTTTACAGGAGAACACAGAAAACAAATGGTTTGCTCCAGCAAAGCACATTTATCTATGTGCTTAAATACATTTTAAGATAACATGTTTAGGACCAGAAGAGGGTTTTATGTCACACACGGATTCACCAGGACTGAAGCACAGGCATGCATATGCACCAGTTTGTAAAGCTGAGCTTAAGCACTATGCTGTGAAAAAAAACTAGCAAGTACATTTAGATTGATGCAGTCATAGAAAGCTGGAATTGCTGAACACTGGAGGAAGACATGTGCATCCACTACTAAGATGGCAGATGCCTTTGTCTTCAATATCCTGTTTGAGCTCCATGCATTCTGGGTTCAGAGATGAACTGATTGAGTGCTGGCAGGCACAGATTTATTCCTTATGCATAAATTGATACCCTCATTATTTTACTCCCCTATGACACATAATTACCTCGTCAAGCATCCTTTATTTGTTCTGAATCTGTTCTGACGTAATTCATCTTTTGACCATAGAGCTTCCTGCCTACACACTCAGCTGAATACTCTAAAATACCTTTTAATTTTTCCTACTCTTTTGTTATTAATCCAGTCCTTAGCGGATGGTCACATTCCCTTTGATTTGGACTCTCTATTTCAAATTCAGATTGCCCTGCCACTTCATTTCCAAACAGGTTTAGTAGCAGAAATGAGTTGTTTACACTTCACTGATATTTCAAACGGAGCTCTGTTGCATGACCCTTGTCTGTATGCAAATTTGCAGATAAAGTCACATAAATCTTTTGTTTAAGAGACTAACAAGCATTCAAAAATAAGTCAAAATTGAATCAGATTATCCAACAAAAAGGTTGTTTGCATAGCGAAAAAAAAAGAATGCATCTCTGTGAAAATACATACCTGAAAAAAAGACTTCACTGACCTTACCACATGTAACTCTGCTTGTGGTAGAAAATATGAAGAAAAACCCATACCTTTCCCCATATTCCTCCCACGGTGCCATCATTAAAGAGGATCTACATCACTGACCGCATGAAACCACGCTTTGCTCAGCTGTACACAAATATCTCACGCGCACACAGTAACTGCTAGAATAAGCCCACTTTAACATTCCTCAGGGTGTCTTTGTGATAGCAGCACAAACCTTGTTCACCCTCCCTTGTAATTTCCAGTCTCTGCATGCCTCAAACTAATAATTATTCTCATTAAGGGTTTTACTAAGAGGAACACAAACCATGCTGCGTGGCAGCCACCTACATGACTGTGCTCACAGAAACCCAGTACATATCAGAATCTTAGTGGATTTTGTTGCAGTTTTGATAAAAGTGACAGAGCGTGAGGATGTGCCAGCTTCTCAGCTCGCAACTTGATCCTGGCAGCACCACTCTGGTGACTAGCACATAGCTCTCTCATAGAGGCCTCTGCTATCCACATTTAATGGTCTCGCTGGGGATCTGGTGCCAATGGTTCTGATCCCAGTTTTGCAAGCACTGGCAGCAGTCCAAACACATCAGAATGTGCCACACCTGTAGATACTAATGGTTAGCCATCTTTGCCACTAGACAAAAACAACTCTACTAATTGAAGCCATGTAGTCATACTGTAACTACACCCAGTTCTACACCGTCAGTGCAACTCACTCTCAATAATCAAACAGAATCACAATGGTGGCAGTGCCACTGATGTCAATGCTGAAACTGCAGCAGTTCAGTCTCCATCTCTCCTTACAGCATCAGGCAACCTTCAGTCTCCTCACCCTCCCATGCCTGAAATGCTTTTGCAGCAAAGGACACGCAGTGAGAGCTTAAGGAATAAATCAAAAGTCTAGCTGGTCTGCGAAAAGTGCTGTGAGACTTCTACCTTATGAATAAACTGAGATGAAAAGTCTCGTATTAACATGCTACAAACTATGAGCCAGGCAGCCAGAAAACCTGAGCTTGCAGAATGCAGTCAGCCCTTCAGAATAGATGTAAGCTTGTATCCCACAGCTATAAAACCCAGCCCTCAAAGCCGGAATGAAAGCTTTCAGCAGGAAAGGTTTCTAACCCCCAGTGCTGCGAAATACACTGCAAGACTCTGAACCTAGGACACAGAAGAGTGCTGCTTGCCGTAGCCCAGAACTGTGCAGGAGAGAGGTCAGCTGGTCAGTGAATCTAAGCAAGAAGAAAGTGAGGAGTCTCAACCTCTCATCCCATGAGCGTGCACTCTAGCCCACTGCCTCTGCCTCTACAACTTTGGGGCAGCCCACTGTCCATGCAGATAAGCTGGGAGAAGTGCATGGAAGGTGCAGCTGGGACACAGCCTGCACTAGGCCCTGCAGCATCCTGCTGGGACATCTGTATTCCTTCCTAGGCCAAAGCTTGTCTGTCTAAATGGCACCCCATTAGTCGGTCAGGAACATCGGTCAGTTGGGCACAGATTCCCCAGCAAGATGATTTACATCACTGTTTCCAGCTGAGTAGCCATGTACTTTCTCAATGGTGTTGGTAGAGTGATTTTTATTTACAACTCTGTAAAACATAGGCTCAGCTTTGACAGTCACATTATCACCTCTATTTTTCCCATTTTGCTTCTTTGCTCATACAAAAATAAATATGTACAGGTATCTTTTTATGTTTTTTGTTTGTTTGAAGTTTTTCACATCTTCAAGAACTATTTATTGACATGTTTGAGAACTGAACTGAGAAACCCTGCCCTAAACTAAAAGACATGCATAGCCCTTTCAAAGCTATTGATGACTTTTCTGTTTTTCCCCATCTGTGAAAGATCTCAGGTGGACTCCAACAGAACTAAACTTTGTTTAAAAAATAGTAACACATTCAAGAAGCATCAGCTCAAGCAGCAAAACTGAGAGATCCATTATAGCTTTCAAAAAGAAAACATGATGTAACTAATTGCATTAAAATTTGCTTTAAAAAAAAATTTGTTCTTAGGCTATTTTAGTTGAGCAAGAAGGTAGGATTTTTTTTACGTGTCTGAGTCATCAAAGCCTGACAACATGACAGAACATTAATGGCAGCAGAACTCCACAGGACCTCATGTGGGGAAAAAGCCATTCCTCTGCGCAGAGCTTTCAAGAGAGGAGGAGGAGAAGGAAGTCTTTGAGCACAAAGCAAAAGGCCTCTTCACTATTTTGTCAGATTCTGAGCCCTCAACTGCAGACAGCAGATTTGCTTTTGGAATGTAAGAAATTATATGCAGGTGGGTAAGAAACCCATGCAGGTATACTGGTCTCATTTCCAGATTGCAAAGTCTAGCATTAAATGGCCATTACTGGCAACACCAGAGAGAACTGAAGTGGTACTGCTTGCTCAGGACAAAAGTGCCACGTGGCATTTCTCCCCTCTCCAGCAAAGTACACAGATTTGGCAAATAAGTGCAACTGTTAAAAAAAAACAAAAACAAAAACAAAAAAAAAAAACTCCTCTGCAGGTGGATGCACATATATAAGCCAGAATTTGAATCCTTACGTCCTTTCCTCCCTCCTCCATTCAATTTTAATCATATTTGCAAGAACACTGATTAATTCTGGAGCCATAAGTCAGCACATGCTGACTTTGGCTTTTCAAGGATGCTGAGAATTCATTGCTCCAGTGGGAGCTGTGGATGTCTCATGCGTCAGTGAATCATAAAAATCATGACTTCCAAAACCTTGAAAAGTTGCTCTAGTACATCCAGCTAATCCTGAGGCAGGATCAGCTACACAAAGATCAAAAATCCAAACCAATCTGGTAAATATTCAGCTTTCTCTGTTTTTAC